CCCCTCCGAGTCYGGGTGTCAAAGAGGGGCTCCCGCTTTGCTCTGCAGCATCATCTGTAAAGCAGATGAAAGGGAGTGACGTTTCTCCCTCCCCAAATGTTGATGAGAATGGAAAGTATGAAGAAACGATGCAATTTTCTGGAATACTTAAGGAAAAATGTTGTGTCATGTAGTTTTTATTTTATTTTTTTCTTCAAGCCAGCATTTGGCTGCCCAGTGAACGATAACAAGATTTAATAGCTGCAGTGTAGCTATATTGCATTTGGACGGGCTCCATCCTTCTGTTGTAATAAACGTCTGCTTTACAATGAGCTCTTAAATTCTATAAGTGACGTCAAATTGTATCTAATAATGGAAAAAAGATTAAGTCCTGTAAACCCGACTCGCTGCCTGCGCCTTTCCTCTCGAGCAGCRTTTGGTCGTCGGCGCGTTGAGCCGCTGCCTGCGCTTTGTGAGTCGGTCCCCAGGCTTGTCCCCCGCGCGCGGCCCTTTTCTTCCTCCTCCTCATCCTCTGTGGCTGGCAGCAGCGTGGGCTGCGTCCCGGCACGGCCAGGGGGTCTCCTGGAGTTTGGATGCCTGGAGCTGCGGGTCTGGGTGCTGCAACGTGAGCAACCCCGTGTCCAACTCATGGTCAGGTGTATCTACATGCAGTGGTGCAACTGTGCAAGCATCCACATGCAAACCTTAGTTGTAAAARGATGCAGCAGATTCGATGTCTGATTGAGATGCAGTATGGCAGAGAACACACCACTTGCTGACGTAGTACCCTTTAAGTAGCAATGGTGCAAGCTGTACATTTTTAAGGTGCTTTAAGTCTTTCTCTTGACTTTTCAAGGCTTTATCAGTGGTATTTTTGTCTGCTTGACTCTGTCAGCAGATAGGACTGATACAACCCTCAGCTCTCTTGCATGTGCACTGAATAACTGAGAGATAGGATGAGGTATTTGTTAGAAATGGGAGTTTTAAAGTTTAGTAATATTGGTGAATAATCATAGCCACAAGTTACTACATAGAAATTTTGGGCATTCTAAACTTGTAATGTGAACATTGGCTGGAAAATGTCCCATTGCCTGTGCAGGAGAAACTGCTTCTGCACAGGGGGAGAAGGGAATGGTCAAATACAAACGCTCAAAATGCATCTGCTTGGAAAACCCTCATAAATTGTGTTTTCCCCTTGCCCTATATCGTGCGACTGGGGAAGATGCTGCTGCTGCAGCCTGGTGGCACATCCAGGTGGAGATGGGAATGCTGTGGAATAAATTCCATGGGAGCTTCTTTGGGAGCTGGTGCTCTGGTGGCTGCTGGCCGGCAGCCAGGGCTAGCTTGGGGCTTGGTGCAGGATGAGGGAGGCCGTGAAGCAGCTGGGGGTGTTTGATGTGGGAAAGGAGGCGCTGGTGGTGGCGGAGCCGCCGCTCCGGGCGCGCGAGGCGGAGCGGGATTGCGGTGGGGCCGGCAGGAGGATGCCGCATTAATCAAGACGGGAGCATCGAGGCCGCCCGCGGAAAAGTGCTGACTCTGGCTCCTAGAAATCTGCTTTACGTTTATGCTGCCGTTTCCAACGGCACAAATAAATTGGAGCGCGATACGTCTGCACCCCGAGCTGCCTCGGGAAGCTGCTGAGCATCTGGCCGGACAGGGACTGTGGGCGGCTCTCGAGCCCATCGCTTCCCCCAGGCCCAAATGCTCTGGACACTTGGGACCGGCTCTTAAAAACATCTTCATCCACGGAGGCACCTGTTGGGGGGCAAAGGAGATGTAAGGAGCCTAAAGGAAGCCGGTAGGTGTGTTGTCCAGGTCCTGCCTTTGCTCATCCCCTTGTTGTGACCTGCTTGGCTTGGGCTTCTCGGTGCTTTTTATTACCTCTCTTTCGCTCCTCAGCTCTGAGGAGATGCTCCAAGGAAGCTGCTCAGGAGGGGAGCGCTGGATGCAGATCTTCAGCTCATTAGTGTGATCTTTCCTTCGAGAGACCTCCCTCAACTCGAGGCAGCAGCAGCAGAGCCCCGGGCGGCAGCGGTCGGTGCCGATGGGGAGCGCGGGCCCGGGGCGAATCTCCCAAGCTCCTAATAGCATAAAACGAACCTCCCACGTGAGGCTGGAGAGAGCTAATTACCCTCGCCCTCTGCTTCCCGGGTTTTATTCCTCCCCTACTGAATCCATGAAATAGCAGCCCTGGCACAGGGTTTCATCACCGCTGTGGTGGTTTGGAGCTCGCTTGCATCCTGCAAAGCGCCCGTGTTCAGGAGCCTGCGCGGGAGCTCGAGCTGATGGAGGAGCTGGGGAGGGGACGGCCGGGAGGGTCGTAGCGGCAGAGCTGGCAGTGGGGCCTGGGCCGCAGTGCAGCGTCGCCTCCTGTCCCCTTCAGCACCGATCTGCTGAGACATATACACTTCAACTGCCCTTAGTGCATTAATTGTGTTCATTACGTTAATTACACTGTGGCAGTTGGCATTGGTCCTTTGCCACCTCATTTAGCCATCGGGCTGCTGAGCTGGGGCTCCAAACGGGCCTGCCCTAAGCACTGAGCTCCTAGGCTGAGTTTGGGGCTTTGCTGCCTCTCTTGATCCCTTCACGTCTGCTGATCCTCGTAGATCCCCCCTCTCCCGGGATCTGTGATTCATAGATTGCCCCTCTCCGGGRGGAAAAAAAGGGCATGGCTTAAAGACGTGTGAAAGTGTCCCGTGTGGCTGTTGCTTCCCGTTGCTTGTGCGTCGCGGTGTGCGCGTTGGGCTGTTCCCGTTGGGGTGTGCCCTGCCCCAGCTCTCCGCCTGTGCCGCGGCCGGCGCCTTGCAGAGCCGCAGAAGGGCCGGTGCGGTGCTCCGCGGCCGYCTCTCTGCAGTGGTGCTTTGGGCAGTGCTGGGAACCATCCGGGTCTGCTTTGATTCCCCGTGAAGTCCCAGGACTTGCCAAGGGTTGTGGTCCGTCCCTGTTGACATGGTGATCCCCAGCCCCCCAATCCAATTAATACTCATCCTTTAAAAACTCGGACCTGTTTTAAAAGGCAAGGGGAAAATAGCCATGTGGGTGGGCGCAGCAAATCCCAAGGGGTGGTGTGTGCACCCTGTCATCAGGCCACTCATCTGGGCTGCCCAATGTGCCGGGGCCCAAACGCTGCCGTCCCGGTCCCTGCGGCCCGTCGCGTTGCTGGTTTCGCTCTGTGAYGAAATAAACTCTCCTGTGTCTTGGTCGTCTGAATTATTACTTGCTTGACASTTCATTATAAACGCATTTTTTTTCATCTTGGCGCTGCTTTCCTGCCATTTTATTGCCTTTATGCTTCTATTTTTGTTTTACTCATCTCCCTCAATCGATTGAAATATCCTGTTTTCAGCGAGCAGCCCAGGCAGATGCGGCTGACATCCCTGCAGCAGGAGTGAGTCTGCTCCAGATCATTTGCAGGGAGGGAGAGGAAGGGTTTTAAGCCCAACTTTCCCAGCTCGCTGGGGTGGAGCAAACGGCTCTGCTGGCAGCGAGAGGTGGGATGGGATCCTGGAGCTCCGTGGCCTGTGCTYGGGATCTGTTCCCCTGCTCTGCTTGTCGTCCTTTGCAATGACACTAATTAAAACCCATCTAATGAGATTATCCCCACTTGCTCTGGAGGATTAGTTTGATGGAAGGCGTCAAACTTTTTTGGTTTTTTGTTCCCTCCCCACACACACATAGGTATCTCTGCCAGCATTAAAATGAACTTTAAAAGAAATAGTTTAGATGCTGCAGCACCAGAGAGCGGCTGCTATTCCAGGAGAGCCATTCCAGAGACGAGAAGCTGCCTTCTTCCTGGTCTGGACCTGGGTTATAAACCCAAATTGTGTCCCTGGCTACCTCACGACCATGAGTTTGATTTATTTATGTATTTACTGAGTGTGCTCAGGGCTGTAGAGGGCTGGTGAGGCGCCCTGCCCATGCAAAGTGGCACCGGGACCTCCTGATGGCAGTGGTGGACTTCCCTGGGACCCAGGTGTTGGCATCAACCCCTGCATCAGCTGGTTGGCTTTGTTCTGCTTTGCATRGGGTTTTTTTGTTTGTTTTCCCCAAATGTGAGCCTTTTGTCTGTATTGGCTTCAGCAGCTCTGTCTCCAAAGTGCCAACACGCAGGGACAGCAGTGAGTTTGGGGGATGCAGAGGAGCTGGAGTTCTGCTTTATGCGCTAGGAAAGTGGCCTTCAAATGATGTTGTGCTGGGGCTGCACTTCTTGTGTCCTCGCTTCCCTGCTGCTCTTATTTTTCTCTCCCTTAATTTCTTTCTTTTTTTTTTTTTGACATCTTTATCTACAGCCTAAGGGCAATCTTAAGGATGTTTGAAAAGTTACTGTTTTAACCCTGGACATAGTAAATGCAGGGCTTTTTTAAGCAATAATTTTCTTAAATTGCCTTCAGGCTGGATGTTCTCTGTTGCAGTTTGATCTTTAGCTGTGCTCTCTTGCTATGGGAGTGTAAAAATGAGCCTGGCGCAAACATCAATGGCAAGATGAATTAGGCTGTAGACTTCTCAGGAGGTGAGAGAGAGCGGATCCCAACCAGACACTAATTCAGAGTAAAGCGAGGAAGAAAAATGCATTTCCGCAGACCACATTGTTGGAATCCAATTGACGCTGCCCATCGCGGCGYTCCCGAGAGCCAAGGAAGTCTAATTACTGCCTTTTCTCCCCGCTGAACAAACGTGAGAGGGTAAAATCGGATACCTTTTAGTGCAGGCGTCTCTGGCACGTTGCTGACATCAAAGAGGGGCACTATTGTCCAGCAACAAAAGCTCTGCCTGTGGATTTGGAGCTATTGTCGCATCTTTCCTGAGGATGCCGGTGCATGTGGAAGTCTGATGAATAAACAGCAAGGGTCAGGAGGGCAACTCGTCCAAAAGATTCTGTTCAATTTGGTATCGAGCCTCTGGTTCCGCTCAAGGCAATCTTCTTTCTCCTATTAAGCCTATTCCTATTAAGAGAAATTAATATTTTTTTGATAAGATAGTCTCTAAGAATGGAAAATAACTGCTTTTCTCTCTTCCAGGGAACTTCAATGCATTTGCTTACTGTTATTTAAGGAGCCTTCACTAGACGCTTTTGGATCGCGCTTCTGAGCGGACAAAAGATTTTGCCTTCAAAATGCTCATCAAGGAATATCGCATTCCTCTTCCGATGAGCGTGGAGGAGTATCGCATTGCCCAGCTCTACATGATACAGGTCAGTAACRGGGCATCCGTTGGGTGGGTGGATGAGTTTTGAATTTGAGGTGTTCTGAGAGAACTTGGGAGATGGCACCTCAYGGACAGGCCATTGCTGTGAAGGGAGGCAATGAGGCCAAGCAGGTGGGCACCTAACCAGGTAACTCCGTAACTTTCCTTGGCTGCAAGGAAAAGCTCTTCCCRTCCTGCTGGGAAGAAGCAGTCTAGGATAAATCTTAGATGTTAAATCAAAGGCATAACTGGAGTTCAGAAATCGAGGTATCTAGACGTAATACTTTGTTTATGTACTGCTATGAAAGAGATGCTGATCAGTCTAGGTGCAGAATATAGATTAATTTTAATATGCTTCTGAGCACTGATGGGATCTTCTTTTTTAATTCCATATCCTCAGTAAAGCATTAATTAAAATGTTGRTTTTGTAACTCAAATCCTGCATGCCCAGCTTTTCCCACTGTTTGAAATACAAACAGAAGCTTTTCTTTTAAAAAAGGAAAGCTGAAGGATTTTCTTAAAAGGAATTTGAAGTATTATTTCATTGTCCCTCACACTAAAGGAAATTTAAAATGGCCCTAATCCAGCAAAAYGCAAGTCTAATATTTAGTCTTTAATAGAACTCCATTTCCTTTGGTGACACAAAGCAATGCTAGCAAAGTCACCTTTGGTTTAAGGCCTAAAATGAATTATAAATAAAGCTAAGGAGGAAAAAATAAAGCAGTAAAGGGCACGATTCCTCCCCCCTTTCCCTTTCCCCACATTGCAGCTGTGCTCCTTTTAAGGACTTGTACACTTGGACCTGACTGCTACAACAGTGCATGGTGTGTGTTTTCCAGGAATAACAATGGAATTCCTTTTTTTTTTTTTTTTTTTTTTTTTTTTTTTTTTTTTTTTTTTTTTTTTTTTTTTTTTTTTTTTTTGTGTGTTTTTTTTTTTTTTTAGCATGAATTAATAAACAGTGTTCTCAGGAGGCTTCAGTTCTGTGTAGCTTTTCCTGAAGCTGTAGCTGATTTGAACGGTATCGTAATTATTTTGTCACAACTTTTTCTTCCAAACTTGRCTTAGCTGCTTTAAATACAGAACTGGGAGCTGGGTTGCGGCCTGCAGAGCTTGCTGGCGAGCAGCGGAGCATCCAGGAGGATGAGGCGGCTGGGAAGGGAGTGCCCGGCTGCTCTAACGAGGAATTGCTAATTGGGGAGCGTCGGCGCCGGCTCCGCTGCCAGGAGGAGGCCTCAGTCCGTGGGCTGCACTTGCTTCCAGATGTTCATATACCTATTTTTGTCTAATTAATGCAGAGCACTGGCTTGCATTTTGTTCACTCAGCAGTGGTTTTAGCTGAATCTTAACATAAAGGACTAAATGAGCCCATAGGGTTTGGCGTGAGGGGAGATTCTTTGGCCCAACACTTGGCTAAAGGAAACTGCCCCTCCGTCCTGCATTTGCCCTGATTTTCTGGGGCACTGATCTGCAGCAGAGCGAGGCTGCCCCCAGGTCAGGGGTGCAGAGTCCCTGACAGTCTCTGATGCTCCTGCTTTTACCCAGGAATAAACTGGCAACCCTGGATTTCCCCATAGGCCAGGTAGTCTAGGGAGCTGTATGGCAGCTCAGGGAGTTTAGTCCTGGATGTGTACGAGTCCAAGAGGGAAAACGAGCTGTGCTTCAGCTTGAAAATCCTTGTCTTTGAGCAAAGGTATTTCGATGAACACCTTAGGAYAGAATAACAGGTTTACAGTCTGTTTGTTAGTGCCTGGTAGGGCTCTGCTTCAGCYCCTGCTGAAACTGTTGGAAAGATTCACGCTGACTTCAATGGGAGGTTTTCCTAGACCGTGTTACCAAATGTCCTTTTTCTTCCATTTGATTTGAAAGTGCAGGTTTTGTCTTTGAGGGCTAAGCTGGAGCAGAAGCAGTCGGGAGCACAACTCCTGTCCTTTTCAAAGGACAAGGAGAGGCTTCATGTCTCCCTTCCTAATTATTTTCCCTCCCGAGTGTGCAGGAGGGCAACAGGAGAAGCAAGCTGTGTACTTTGAGAAGAACTTAGAGGAACTGCGAGCTGAGGTCGCTGCATAAAACATCAATGTAGTGAGATTTCTTGGAAATCCTCAAATCATTCTGTTCTGTGTGTTTCAGGCAGAGTAGCTCCTGGGAAGATCTATTTTTTAAGAGCAAAAGGTCCATTTTGGAGACAGGTGTTGTGTGCAGCGTGGTTTGGTTATTGCTGGAGATGCTAATGCCCGTTAGAAGCAATTTTGCAGCAGTGCAGAAGATGGGCACATGTTCTACAAGAGGTTCAGAGAGCCTCAAGCACCTACTTGATGTTGAGCACTTGTCTAACTTCAAACTCATGAGTAAAGCTCTTGTTCAGCTCTGAGCCAGTTGGTTGTGGAGCTGCTCTTGAAGAGCAGAGAAGTCAATGTCCCAAATCTGCAAGTCTTCCAAACTGAAGTTCTCTAAAAGGACCTTCTTGCCTGGGGAGGGGGAAGCCAATGCCTTGTGCACTTGCTTTAGGGACATTTTCTGCTCCTGAAGACCCAGCAGTGGGGATTTTTAGGTGGAAGCCATAGTATTAGTGGCTGTTTTTAGACATTTCTGTTGGGTTGTCCGTACCTGTCGTAGAAGATCCTCTGAGACCATGAGAGAACAGCCCCTCTTAGAGACTTATATAAAATTCAATGGGTTTTTTTGTTAAGCAACAGCACATCCAACTAGCAAAGGACTCTTCCTCTGAGCCAAGCCAGGCTTCACTCATATTTACTGTGTTTACYCTGTGACAGAATAAAAAATATGCAGTGTATGATCCAGCATCTCCTTATTTCCCTGTGCAAGACAAACAGTAAATCACTGCATGCACCTGCTCATGCTGCTGTGGTTGCTCTGATGCTTCCAGTTCCCTTGATGGGGTCCTTGCTGGTGTCCAGGGCTCTGAAAATGAAGGCAATGGGGCTACTGGTTTTCTGGTTGGCAGCTGGTTGGCGAGGGCAATGAGGAGGGGAGAATCGCAAGTCTCTGCAGTGTTGCTCTCTGCTGGCCTCTGAAGTATTGGCCACAGGGACAGTGGTTTCAGTACCTTAAGCAGCACTTAGATTCTTCAATAAATGAGTTAATTTTACATTACGGCAAAGGGCTTAATGCACCTTTGACTTGCAGCCTAGCAGATCTGAATGGAATTGTTTTGCTCTATTAAATCTCAGACTATCAATATCAGTATTTCCATGGGGGGAACCTCTCATGCAGTGTTTTCAACATGTTCAGATCGGGAGTCCTTGCTGCGTTAGCCACAGAGCAGTTTGGTCTTAGCTCTTCCATATGCATGAGGGTTTTTCATCACTGCTCTCTCTGCCCAAATTCTTATATCTGGCCTCAGAAACGGTGATCTTCCTTTGTGCTGGTGTCAGGCAGATGGAATCCAGCAAAATATTTTGAGACAGGAACCCAGAATTTTCTCGTTAATGTTTTTAACTTGTGTCATGGTTTCATCTGATTTCAGCTCCCCTGCTCACTGATACTTGCTTTTTGGAATGAGCCACCTTCATTTCAGCACAAAATTGCAGCAAGGATTGGTTCAGTATCAATACCTGGTGATGGTGGTAGCCATCACCACAGTCTGGTACGTGAGACATTTACGCTGCTCTGATGACCCTGTCCTGCCTTCTTTCTCAGAATCTGTACACACGTGTGTGCACCTACACGTGTGCACACTTAAAAGCCTGTCCTGCTTCCAGGGATGGGAGAGGCTCTCGCCCCGAGGAAAGCACTTCAGTGCAGACTTGAAATGAGTTTCCTGAGGCACAAACCCTTTCAAGAGACAGTTCTAATCATCAGTAGGGATTTTGTTGCTTACTGCAGGAGTAGTGACCTAAGGACTGTGATATGGGTGTCTTCTCCAGCTCTGTTCATCRCATCCAAACCATTTTTCTGTCTCTTCAAGGCCTTTGAAGCCTGTTGGCCACAGGCAGGACCATTCTTTTTTGCTTCTGCAATACGTAAAATAGAAGTTGGTAAGGATCTCTTAATTCTTCCACTTTGCGTGTCTTGCATATTCATATCTCAATAGCTGTCCTTTCCTACAACATTTGTTTTTATGTTTAGCAAATGTAACCTTTGCTGTTAGGCTTCTCCCTAACTCCAAAACACGTGCTTTAGTATTAAGTCCCTTTGGCTCGTACAAGCTCCTATGCCAAGATGTGAGCACATTCATCAGGAGGATCAGTATGTTATTAGACACAGGTCAGGCCATTCATCTTCGCAATACCCTCATTACCACAGTCCCGTTCACCGTGGGATTCGGAGGGAGCGCTGCCCTTCCAACCTTTAAATAAGACCAGAGAATTCCTCCTGTTATTAAATCTTATTTTTAAATCAGCATGCATAGCTTACTTTATCTGTTGTAAATAACTTTGGTCCACGCGGTTTTTGCTAAGTACTTGTGACCTTCCTCAGAAGWCAGCGCTTGAAAAATATTGTTCTGGACACAGGGATTGCCTTTTGAGGCTGAGGGTTATTTTAAGATGCTGCATCATCCTTGTAAGCTAATAATGGTAATAGTTTGTCATTCAGCACTCCGAGGGTCCACGCTTGGACGGACTCTGGCCTTTATATTTGGCAATGTGCTAAGGATGACCCGTCTTCTGCTAAGCACTGTGTGCTGAACGCAGGCAGGATCCTGGGAACTGAGGGTGCTTCTCATCTTTTCACATGAGCCTCTCTCCCACAGTCCCTCAGAGCTTCCCATTGATCCTGAAAAATCAGAGTATTTCCAGGCACCTGCAGTGCATCGTGCTCCCTGGCATGGCTGAGTCAACACGTGCAATTCCATGGTCATCTTTCCTGCCCCTTAGACCCCTGTGCCAGCCTATTTCCTCCCTCAGGTAGAGCCTTGAGGATCAGGCTTCCAAAACATGCTCCGTGGTGGTAATTCTGGATGCTCTGCCCTAATAGCTTGGTGCAGGAGTCGTGTCCCTCAGCCTGTCAGCTGCACTTGGCGCTTGCCAGCAGGCTCAGCAGATG